CCTCCCTGGGCCGAGGGTGCCACTTGGCCCCGGAGGGCTAAGATGTTCTTGCAATGGCCCCATGGTGCTTCACAGACAGTGCTCAACTGACACGGAGTGAACAGTTCTAGGAACGGTCTCTTCATGCTCACACCGCACTGAGGGGCCACGGACTGCGTCTTCCCACCACCCCAAGTCCCCTCCCTGGGCCGAGGGTGCCACTTGGCCCCGGAGGGCTAAGATGTTCTTGCAATGGCCCCATGGTGCTTCACAGACACTGCACAGGGGGCTCTGCTTGGGGAGAGGGTCCCAAACCATCATCAGCCTTGGGGGTGCCGAGAGAGAGAGGTGACCTCAGAGCCCCAACTCTGCCTCCCCACCCCCAAGTCTGAGCTGAGGACACTGCTCCGTCACCCTGGACCTCTCTGACAAATTCCGTGAGCCCTCAGGACGGCACGGCAGGGTGGTCCCAACACGGTCTCCACTACACAAGCACGGAGGGTAAGGACTGGGCCTACCCTTGAATGTGGGCTGGCCCCGATGGGCTGGCCTATCACAAGAGCACTCCCTAATGGCTAGGACCTTGTCTCTCGTCCCCACACTGGTCAGAGGAGAGCTTGCCACTACAGGCACTGAGCCTAAGCAAGCCCCCAAAGACAACACGGGTGAGGGGCTGCACCCAGAGTAGCAGGTGATCCATCAAAAAACACCCAGGCAAGGCTGCACATGTCACCAGGGTCAGAGGAGCCTCAGGTGCCACCCGCTGGTGTCCTGGTGGGAACAGACACCCTCAGACCCAGGGAGCTCCTTGCAGGTCAGACCCAAGTAGGGCCTAGTCCTGTAACTCTCCAAACTGCTGCCCTGCAGGTTCTAAGTGCCCCACTGGCCAGCAGAGGGAAGTATGTCTGCCACTTTCTCCCACGGTGACCAAGCAGGACTGAGGGGCTGGCACAGCAACTGGCCACCAGCCAGGAACGCCTGCTCCAAACCCCCAGCCTGGCCACACGCACGGCTCTGTGACGGAGACGGGCCAGGCTGAATGAGGTCCCCATAGATTCCACTCAACATTATTAACAGGGCAAAGGGCACCCCAGGAAACAGCCAAGTCTCCAAGTTCCACAGCAGCTCTGCTCCAGAGCCTGGGCCTGAAGCCTTTAGGGCTAATGACAGCTTATGGTCAGGGGACCAGAAAGCCTAGGGCAAGTTCAACCACCTAGAAGAGGGGTTAACAGCCCCAGGGTCCGAGCTGCTGGGCATCCAGCCCCCACCGTGCCTGAGCCAACA